ATGGCGGTTTGAAGCAAACTGGGAGAGACACCGAGAGAGGCGCGCGCGAGACGCGGAATATGTCTGGCGTATGTGGAGAACCTTGTACACTCCCCCGGGATCGTTATGGGGGCATTCCGGCTTCTGGTATGTCATATCAGAAATTCCTGTCTACCTGTGTGTCGCCTGTTGCCCCGTGCGCGCGCGATGTTCCAATTGGAGCGGGCGAAACGCGCACCCGCCGCGTGCGATGCGAAAGTGGTATTACTTGTGTGTCGAGTTTGAGGGTAGAGAGCGTAGGGGTTGGATCCCGCACCAACGTTTAGGAAAATAAAATTATTTTGCACAATCAAAAAATAGCGCTACCGTTCCGAGATTTATTATTATCGGCGAAACTACTGATTAAACTATTATCGTCTATAATTGCATGGGCTACCGTAAAATTTATGCTGTTCTCATTTAGAACGATATATATATAGGGTATAATGGTATATTAATCGCGCTTGATGTATTAACAATATCTTCTCAGTGTATGTGTATAAAATAGGAATTGTTCGGTTAAGACTTTGTTGAATATGTGAAATTAATACATTATTCATGAATTATTGCCGCCGTATAGTTGAATTGTTATATATTTTGTTTAATATTTTCTATATTTTTATTTTATAGTACTTTGATAATTACTAATTTGATTGAAATTTCATGCGGACGCACAGAGAAATTACTTATTTAAATAGTAAAGTATTAAGTATTAATAATTGAACATTTGTATCAATTTTGACCCATTACCTAATTCACGACCCATTAAGAACTTAGGGAGGAGCGTGCTTTTTTTTCAAGACAGTGCAACGAGCGATGTATATATAGAGGACTTTGGTTTCGTCGCATGGTAGGGTAGTTTTAGCCAGAGGCATCGGTTATCTGCATTCGACACATTGTCAATTTGCCGCTGCTTGTCTCGTCTGTTTAAAATCGATCGTGCCAGAGCACACATACCTGCCTACCGAATACATTTTCGGTTTACGAGTGCTGTAGATGTCATTCTCGTTCCCTAACAATGCGCTGAAAAAATAGTCGCTTTGTTCAATTTCTGTTCGCCACCAGCGTGTTTCGATCGCGTGTATTAGTGTCTCCGACGACTTTTGAAAATATCTATACATATATACATAACGATTTCAATCACAGTTATTTCTATATTTGCTTTCAATCGTTTATTTCGTTCAATGTTATGATTAAGTAATTTCTTACTTCAATCAATATTTCAATCTTTCCGTTCCATTCACCGTTTTGAGTTTATTATCTGTCAAATAAACTTAAAAATAATATAAGACACAATAATAATAATAATGTTTATGTTTTTTTAATGCATCGCGAGAATAAAATATCTTTCTCTGTGATAAATTCGATGCTTTTTATTTTTTAGACGCGAACAAATCAAAATGAATTTGTCATTTATTGTACTTGTAAATAAAACATATTTTTGAGATAAAAATAAAATAACAAGATCGCACATGAAATGTTCAAAGTTAATTCATCCATTGCTAGAGAGCGATCCCGCTGTCCTAAATATCAGCGATCAAAATGAGAACCGCAAACGCGATGCATTTGAAGTATGATGTGACTGAGAATTCCGTACGGGCGAGCAACGCATTCCCCGTGATATCTATTTCATTATGGGGGAGATTCCACGGTATTTTTGCAATTACACGCAGCGATCATCGCCACTGGTTACATAGGTTATACCGTCCATATTGTGTTTGTGAATATTGTCGCAATATGGTTGAAATTTCTCGGGGACGGCCTGTGTGATCGAATACTCGGACCAGCGACGTTAATTATCTTTAATCCAATTAGCTATATATTTGCATATGCCGACTACGATGTTTTCGAGCGTTCGCGTCTGCGCTCATTAACGCCGGTATGATGCAAATGAACGAAAAATAAGTCTGCAAGGGATGTCACGCGTTACCTGAAAAGCATAATTAAAAATCGCATCCCTGCCACTCGCGGTTCTTTCTTGAATGCATCCAAAGTGACTTTGACTATAAGTTTTTATTATTATAGAAACGTTTGTACAGAAATGTCGTGGCAAATTTTTTAATTGTCCGATAGTATTGAGAAGAAGGGAAAATAGCTATATAAATATTGCATAACTAACTGTAAGATAGAAATTTGTATCAAGAAATAAGTAAAGTGTATAAAGTTTTTTATAGAAAGAACGAAAGAATTGATTATCATCGAAAAGTAAATTGTATAAATTTTTTCAGAAAATATTACATCATTAATAAGTTACAGTTTAATCACTGAAATGCTAAAAACATGCACGTAAAAAATATTAATTTTCCCAATCAAAATCATCGTTAATTATTCTTACATTAACGAAAAAATGTATAAAATTCAGATGACGCAGCTATTTCATCGAGTTTATTAAATTTCTTTGAACATCTTTTTGTCTCTCCCCTTTGCGCAAGAAGCAATATGACAATGTGATACGCTCATTTGTTACAAAAAATAAACATATAAGAGTATAAAATACAAAATATATAATATATAAAATATAAAATAAATACACATATAATGTTGCAAATAATGCGAATACATATAACTATAAATATATGTGCATGCAATATAAATATATAGATTTCACGTGCATGTTCAAACTATTTTTTCCTGATAAATTAGAAAGATAAAATATAAGTTCTTCTTTTAATATTATTATACCTAATCTATTATAAAATTTATCTACATTTTTATTTTTCATACAAGCCTTGATATTATTAATAAAATCAAAGATTGTTCTATATAGAAATCAAAAGAAAGCAGAATTAGAGTGAATTGCAATAATATCGATTAAATGTTAATATCGCAACTAATGTTTATTACTAATGCATACAATTGTTATAAATTACTAATGTATTGTACATGACAATACGACTTCAAATTCGTCAAAGAATTTGTCATTAAAATTTATTTCAATGTGAGTGGAATACTCTGTATATCAATTTGTGTGATGTTAATAAGTCATTTAGCAGAACACTAAAGCAGAGTTGTTCGTATTGTTGTTATTTATAAATGTACTGATCATTTGGTAGAACTACAAAAATGATTAATGACCTATTTTATAGAGGAGTTTAATTAATTAAATTAATATATTAAATTATAAATAAAGTTCGTCAAATGTAAAGTATTAAAATATAATTTTCGGCAATATGTAACAGTTTTTAGAATAAAAAAATAATGGCAATTTATAAAGTAATTAGAATATTTAGTACGATATTTATATTTTATATGTAAAAACGTAAAATGTTTTAATAACCATGTGTTCGTAATATGAAAATTAATAATACGTTATTACACCACTTTTCGTAAAATTCATAAGTAATATTCAGCTGTAATATGAAAAGTAACTATTTTCTTATATTTGCTTTTAATTCTTTTTAAGACTGGGCAAGTCAAAATTTCGAATTAACTATTCTAAACTATCCGACACAATTATAAATTTAACTACCGTTGTAAAAACTATTGTTTCTTTACGCACGTAGCAAATAGGGATGGAATGTTGTAATGTAGAATCGCGGGAATCGCGGGCTGGCGGGTCAGTAAGCGTTAGGAGCCATCGCGACTTCGCTTCCGTTCTGCGCGGGTTGCCGCGTTATAAAAAGGGGTAGCTATTGAATTAAAAGGATGTAGAGGGAATAAGACGCAACGAGGAAGCGAGAACGCGAACCCGAGCGAGATTCCAGCGAGGGCGCGAGGGAGGAAGCATCGCGAGAGGACGTGAAACACAACTCGACGAGCGAAGCGGAGAGGGTTGAAACGGGGAAGAGAGAGAGAGAGAGAGAGAGGGTGCGGAGCGTCATAGGGGTGAAAGGGGAGAGAAGGGAGAAGAAAGGCGGAGGAAATGAGAAGAAGAGGGCTCTCTCTTCTCCTTCGGCCGGTCGTCTGCTCACCCTTTCTCTCCCACCCTCTTTTTCCACCCCCGCGCTCGCCGACCAGCTCTCGCGCGCGTCCCCCTCTGCCTCCCCCTCCCTGGCCATAAAAATAAAATTTCAATAAATCTCCACCACGCGAAAACTAGTGGGGCATCCGGAGGGCGGGCTACTCGCTCATTGGAGCCGTGTTCGTGGCGGTTGCCGCCTACCGCAAAGCGGAGACGGTGAAAGAGACGGTAACCTGGATAGAGTTCATCTCGGGGATATGAGCAACCCTCGTACGGTTACCAACCACCGCGGACCCGGCGACTGAAAATCCGCCGATGCGACGGGACCGCGTCATCGGGTCCGTGACTTCTCCGTCCGTCTATCCCACACCGACTGCCTCTTATCTCCTTTTATTCTGGTAGTTCCGCTTTTTCAGCGAGGCTTCCGGTCCATTGTATCGCCTCCACTCTTCTAGAAACTCTCGCTTATCGATGGACGACGACGATGATTGTAAACAAAAATAATTACTCGAGATTATTTTCATTGCGTTTTAATGAAATTTTTGGTGGAAAAAATGTATGAACTTTTATATATATATATATATATATATATATATATAGAAGATTCTACATATAAAATAACAACTTTTAAAATAACAACTAAAATAATAACTTTTCCTAGAAATAAGGTCATTGTACGGTAGCACGGATTTTTTGTGACAATTTTTCACCTTAATTATCAATTTAATATTTTATTACGGGGTGAACGGATAAGACGAATAATTGTAGTTTTAACTACAATTCACAGCTAATTATAATTTTGTCCTTCTACAAAAAAAAATAAAAAAAATAAATAAATAAGATTGCGATTGTAAAAACGATCCTTTGGAGGAAGGTAATGTCACAGCTAGCTACCTTCCTGGCTTCCGTTGAATCTGAAGGGTAGGAGCGATTTAATATCACGCCCACCGTTGCAGAATGCGAGGGTGGTAGGGATCCTTACGAGTCGCGAGTGCGAGCGAGAGACCTGGCGGCAAGCGGATTTACATGAACGAGATGCCGACATTGCCGCCAAAGTTGGAACGAGTGGGGGAGCTTGGATATGGCAGTCGGCCAGTTCGCTGTTTGCCTTCCTGGGGCACGGGCCGGTCCTCAGGTTCGTCTGTACAATTCCAAATACTCATCTAAGGAGGATCGTGCGTCGCGCCGCCACAGAGAGAGAGTCACAGTTCTTTTTTTGTCCCCCGTATAGTTCCTCCGAGTTGAGGGTGAGGTGTATCACGCGGATTTCCGCTTCCGCGTGCTGTATCGGAGCTACGCTCCCCTGGAGCGGCATGCTCAACAATATCACCGCCGGTTCTGTACACGGTATCTCCGGTAAGTAATCAGAAAGAGATCTGTCCGGTTGTAGTGTGTATATCGAGAAGAATGAGCGTACATTTGCGTAAAGATTTCGCCAATCGCTGTACCCGTCCGTCGAATCAAATATGTCGATCGAAGCGATTCGTTGGGGCTCGATATTTCAGACCTGAATTCCTTTCGAAATGCTGAAGCTGGCCGAGATTCGCGACCTTCGTCGATTTCTGTCACCCTGCAATAATTTATTAAAATTTCCTTTAATTTAAAATAGTATAATTATATGTATTTTGAATTGGTTCCAAGATACAAAAATTTAGCATGGAATTATCGGATTAATTGTGCAATTTACGCTTAATAAACAATGCAATTAAGAGTGCCAAGTATTATATAAATTATTATAATTAAATTTTCAACCTTGTAATCATTAATTACATCTCTTAATCGATATATGTTACTAATGAAATTATGCGGATCACATGGTATCTAATGAGACTTTTAGATTATTATCTCACAAATCATGGATAACAAATGCATTTTAATTAGAATACCAAAAGCATTTCAATCGCGAAAAGCTCGAGAGTCGTCGAAATGCAACGCCGACGGTAAATGCGTGCTTTGCTTCTAATCTGTACAAGAATTCCGTTTATCCGTGTTTAAAGTTTTTAATCAATGTGCAAAAAATATCGTCAAGTTGAACACTTTGATTGAATCAGAGATATATAATTTGATGATTTCATGCAATGTCAATTGCAGGTTCATCAATTTTAAATGATAACGCTCGATTTCATCAACGTTAACGGGGGTTGAAAGCTGTAAATTTTTGAGATTATGACAGAAGTTATAGAGAATCTATATCGGATTACATATAGTATATTTTAATTATAATCAATATTATTTTCATAAATACATATATCGCAAAAAATTATTAGTGTATATTATGATGATTGTGTCGCTGTGTCGAGATCGTAAAAAAATGATTTTATTTTTATATGTAATGTAAAATACGATGCGAAGAGAGAATAGTGACAGTATAATGTTGATGCAGTGGTAGTGTAAACTTTGATACCACAATCTTAGATTTAAAGCGCGACGCCAAGTATCGTAGCATCAGGTGTCCCATAAGAAGCGTGTTTCTTTATGGTTTTTCTAAAATGCGAGAGCGAGTTCTCATGTTTAAATTTTAATCTCAATTTATCAATATATTACTTTTTTCACGTGATGTTACTATAATATCAGTGTATTATAATTAATATCAAAATGGTCTTCTTAATTATAATCAAACATTGTTACATAATATCTAAAATTTAATCACCTACAATAAGAAAAGTTGTCATTTAAATAATTATAATTTGATTATAAGTTTGATTACAACACAATTATAAATTCTAAAATTATATCTATTATAATATTATATATAATGTATTTAAATTTATTTAAAGTTAATTTTTATTTCTGTTTTTATTAATATTATTTATGATTGTGGCAAAAATATTCGTTTATTTTATTGCAAAATAATAATTATAAAATATATTAAAGTTAATGATAAAATGTCACAATTGATAACGAATCAGAGATCTACAAAAAAGCAAAAGCCATTTTCTATGTAAAATAAGCGAATTAATAAAACAATATTATTATAATCTGTTGCCGAATATATCAATTTTATTGTTTAATGTGTATGATGTCATTTAATTAAAAATTGTTTTATTAATCGCAAATTTTACTTGTATATTTTATGCGTACACTTATTTCAAATTGCGCTACTATAACTCATTCTATTTCTTATTTTGTTATGCTTGCAAAAATCCCAAATGAATATGAATCCAATTTAATCAATTAGACTTACATCCGTCGGCTGGCGTAGGGACTGTTTTGCCTGGCTAATCCACTGTGAATCCTATCGAATATCATGGGGATGTGACTAACATCGTATAATTTTCTTACAAAATGTTGATTACATTAGTATATTCATAAATTTACATTTTTCTTACATGAATTTTTTGCTTATTTCTTATACAAGCAAAAAAATAAAAATTATTTAATTAAAAAACACATTTTTTTATTTTTTGAAAAATATTTGAATAAAATTAAAGATATTTATTATTTTTTTATTTGTATGATAAAATATTTGCATGATAAAATTATAATTTAAATAACGGTAAACATTTTTTGTAAAGTGTGATGAATAAATTGTGACGTATAAATAATCGATAAGTTTTATTGTGAATATAATTTTTTTATATTGCATCTCTTTTGTATTATATAATATATTACATCTTTACACATTTTTTATATTAGTAGTAAGATAGTAAATTATGTTAATTTATGTTATTTTCAGTTAGAAAAATTTTTCCCTCCAAGTTGATTTCCTAGAATCGTAAACGGAAAAATGAAAAGAGAGGGACAAAATTAGTTTAAAAATTCGCATGAAATGATAGTGTGAAATGTGCCGGTAACACGTGACGCGCACGTCTTCGAAAGCCTCCGTCTCAAGAAAGCCGCTTCTCGAGTTTGATGATCTTAATTACCTCAACACTGATTACATTACGCGGGAAGTTGAGGAACGATTTAGAGAGTTAGAATGTTGTAAGTGGCGAGAACTGAATAAAGCGGTACACGTTAATCGGATTAAAAGAAAATTATCGCTCAATTTCTTTTACTTTAAGGCTATATTTGTTATGATATTATGATTTATGCACTTGCTTTCTATTCTATATTAATTGATAATTTAAAGTTTTTTTTTAGACAATTAACACTTATTGGGATCTAAACCTTTTTTTATTCAAACGATCGTCGTATATTGGTGATTATAGCTGTGATTATGAGTTTCGTGCGAACGCAATATATCATACCGGCGTTGCCTGCTTCGCGTCTAATAAATTACACTTATCTGTCACTCGTCGGGATGAGATTAAACGTATACTTACTAACGCTTGATCGATTCGTAACTGCATCGATACGTCTTTAATTATCTCCCTTCAATTTATCGCGATATATCGAAAATAAAATTTAACCCTCGGTGGACGGCGCATACATCTCGTCACACTTAAAGTATGTCCGTTAAAATTTTTTATGATATACGTTAATTGCATTTGGTGCGTCGGCCATCCATTGAGACAAGGCGGGCTACCGACTCGCGAATGTGATATGCGAATAAATACGTCTGTCACGACATTTCCGAATATAGTAATGTGATTTATGACTTTATTATTCAGACGTTTCTGCGCGAGCGGCTGTCAATCATAAAGTTTTCAAACGTCGATAAACGTTGCAACAATCGAACGTTATAAAAATTTCTTTTTTTCCTCTACAGCCACTTCACGCACTCTGAATTACGCGGATACTTTAATGAGTGAAAAAAATTATACGCATATTATAAACGGATACTTAACTGCGTCGCACGCGATCCTTTAACATGTTAATTTGATTATGATCTTTGATAATGCGGTTAATTAATGCGGGGTTAAATAATAATTCTCAATCATTAATCTGAGAAAAGGTATTTCAAAGTATACAGTGGATATAATTATGCAGAATGTATAAATGTTAACGGACAAGTTTTCTTTTTCTATTTATTCATTAAGATATGCAATGTAATTTAGGCGAAACTATATGATTGTCCCTAATTTTTGTATATTAACAGAGGGTGTTATTGATGTGTATAAAAAACTGCAGTGAACGTTAAAGAAATTAATAAAAGGGCTAATAAATACCAAGAGTATCACTATTTAGATGATACCATTATGTTGAGGCTTATAAAACTAAATTAAAAGTCTGTCATAAAGCTCATTCATATGATATTCATTCAGGAAAGCCTCACTACACGGTGGTCCGATAGTTTGATATCGATTCTCTATAACTTGGTATGACTATAAATAAAATTGATAGATTTCTATATATCCTGCATTCTCTTATTATTAAGAAAGTTTGCGATTAAATAAAATTGTGAAATAATGAATCTGAATAAAAGTTGCAAAATAAGGAAAGACAGATTCCTCAAGGAAAGTCTTTCACGCTAATGAAAAAATAATGTTGAATCTATAGTTTCCTAAAAGTCTCAACATCTCGATCGAAATTGATCAAAAATAGAAACTTGAAGATGCTTCCGTGATTAGAAAAATTCTACGCCCCAATCTATGCAAAATTTCTCGCGCTTACATAAATGTCCACAATTAATAATCATAGTTTCAGACGAGTTACTCCATTGTTCGAGTCTCCTCTATTTTTCGTGGAGTTCCATCGTACGCTATTGTTCGTGGATGGAAATTTTTGTAACGAGCGTTGATTTTCCGACTCGCATGATAGTTGATCTCATTCATTACGTAAGCATCTTTGACAATGCACAACGATATGCGATACCTGTGATCCGACGCATACCGGATTCGAGAAGGAGTAGGCGTACCGCGATCCCGAGATGGACAATCTCTGTAACACGTTATATACACGCACTTGCATATGTAGTTGCGCGCGAGTGTGCGTGGGACGCAAGTGTGTTTGGCCGCCTAGAAGCCAGAGTACGGTGACGATTCTCGCACCTCTTCGCTAAGTGGCCCGTACGCCCCTCGGTCGGCTTCTGCTCCTATACAAATTTAAACTACGTAGAGCGGGCGCGTGGGGCGGGCGAGCGGGAGACATGTGTGGAGCACGAGGAGGAAGCCCGGCGAAAAGAGAAAAAATGGAAGAAAATTGAAGCGGCGCGTCTTCTTTTTTTCTGCCCCGCGTCGTCTCCGTTGCTGCACGCGCTTAGGAGCGAAGGATGTGCAAGATCTGAAGCGGTACGAGAAGGAGCACGGCGTGCTGGGAGTGAATCTGGGTTCCGGTCTGTCCGCGGGTGGTGGCCTGACGCTTCATCAGGAGCTGATCATGACTATGCCTGGCACAGGTGAGAAGCGCTCGCGTCGAGGTTCGCGTGGAAAAAGAAAATGCATCGGTCGACTAACATTTTTAACCAACTCAATTTTTCATAGCGCGGAAAAGACATTATGTTTGAAAGCTTCGATTTTTTTTTCGCTAACACGCTCGGACAATCAATACTTTATTACAATGAAAACTGGTGACACGCCAAATGTTTTCCGATACAACGAAAAAACATTCATTCCTTTCAACAAATAGGTTTTATATGAAAATTTCCAAATATATATAGTGGATTGATTTTGAATAAAAAATATTTACTATATCTGCTGTGCTATTAAACACTAAATTCTAGTTGTAAAATTATATAACTTGAGACTCGATTATCTTTAATATCGAAAGCAGTTACGGTTATGTTACGGTTACAAATTTCCTAAGCCAATAAAATTTTGAGCAATTATAATGAATATTTTTTGTCCGTATTCTCCGTTTTGCAAAAGGTTTAAATTTATTAAAGAATCTTGAACATTAAATTGAAAGAAATTCAGAGATTCGCGTAAGATAATGTTCGCGAATTTATATGTAATAGAATGCCTCGCAAGTTAATTCTCTACTTTAATCTTGACTAGAAAAATATATATGCTATAATAGTATTAAATAAATAAATAAACAAAATTAGATGAAGAAGTTATACAACTCGATTACTTTACTTTATATCTTGTCTGCCTTTCGTTCACATTCTGAAATAGAGATAAAAATAACTGTGAATGATTTGGAATTAATTATGAATGACTGATTGATTTTAAATAAATTGGATGATAGTTAAAGGAGAAAATGAACCGCATCGATTTTCCGCGAATGTTTTGTGAGTAATAGGTACACGAGATATTCTCAGAACGGATTGCGCGATATTTGTATCGTGAGTTAGACAACGAAACCATTTTGTTTAATATTCAATGCAGCACCTTACATCGTCATAATCATTGAGTAAAAATCGCAGTAAAAGTATACCTACTTTTAAAAACATAAATTTAATTTAATTCAGCCTATTTGAAATGAAGTTTACTATTAATTCTCAATTAAAGTGAAGCAAAAATACTAGATGCGTTTCATAACTTTTTATTCGTTCTGTAATTTATATATACTATCTATTTTAGAAGTTTATTAAAATTATACTCGAAGATATTATAATTGATAATGGAGTAATCAGCACTTTCGACATGTTTGCATCATTTATTTCGTATTTTAGGAAGCGCGGGTGGGATAGGACAGGGCGATGACAAACCCGCGAAGCAGAAGCGACATCGGACGCGTTTTACACCAGCCCAACTCAACGAACTAGAAAGGTGTTTCGCCAAAACTCACTACCCGGACATCTTCCTAAGGGAGGAAATAGCTGTGAGGATTGGCCTCACGGAAAGTCGCGTTCAGGTAGGTGTGGTCAAAATCTACAGATTACCGTTGGCACGAAACGATTAATCCAGCTTGAGTCGAATCCTATCGCGTGACTTCGCATTCATTGGGCCGGAATTACGTTGCGAGAACTTCTATGCATATTACAATAATTGTAATGTAGCGTTACGTTTCTACATTTAAATCGATCGTTGAGAAAAAAGGAGCATTGCGTAATCCTATTTATTTTACTCCGATTTAAAGTAGCAGGAAAATTGACTGTTTTTCTTTCGCGAAATTTATCTGACGTTCCACTTTTTAAAACACATGCACTTTGCGCAATTAGTTCATTTGTATAAACATCTCGATTATTGAGATATATTATACGATATTACTTTAGAGATATTTTCATATAAATGTGGGGGATAATCTCTGATGCATGATTATTATGCATAAGTATAAAAATACGTAATTAATAATAACGTAAGACCTTATTTTTATGAAAAAAAATTGTACAAAAGAGTAAAAGTCAGTGTTCGACAAGGGTGTGGAAATTTAGTGATACGAATGTAATTGAGTGATAAGTTAGAGGGTTACAATATAGCATAAATTGTCGCGTGGTGACCTCGTAGTTATCCTCAGAAGCATATATCCAGACAACACCGGAACTCTCCGGTGAAATCAATTGTACCGGCCTACTGTGGCTTTTTGGATTAAAGTGAAACTTGGAGCAGAGCAGCTAAGCCCTTGCCCTGCGGGGTTCCGAATTTTGTGGTGGGTTACGTTTGTGGGGCGACCGCAAAACTTTGCAGAAACTCGCAAGTCCTGCGTCTAACATTAGGAATTCTTCAATCAAGGATCAAGAAATCGCGCAAGCGGGGTTTCCTTACAAACTGTTGTTTTCCAAGTTTTTCTTTCTTATCCTAAGAGGTATACACACGAGTAATTTTATCAATTAGGATAATTTTAGACATGTCATTGTTCAACATGTGATTAGATACAAGCGATTTTACTTCGCGAGATAAATTTTTAGAGAAATGATTTAAGCTAATTGCACTGCATTATATTAATGCAGGGAGATGGAAAGAACTAAAAATAGTACACAATGAAAATTAAAAATAGACGCGTCAATAATAAATGTCAAATCAACATTAAAAAGACACAGTAAATCGAAGCATCTTTCGCATTATAATTTAACGAGCGTAATGTGTTTTTGACAGCAAGAATACAATCGTGATTTCCGTAGTTTATCTAAATACGGAGCCGACGGAAATCTATATCTCAGGATTCGTAGAACGAAAATCCTTGAATTCCTGTTCTATTAATTTAAGAGTTCATCGACCTTTCCATTCAATTACTCGGTGTAATATCAGCACGTATTTTAATTAAAAATCAGAAAATAAAGTTGACCAATGAAATATTTTATGAAAATCGACAAAAAGTTTCATGAAAATTAAATGATAATTGATCGTTAAAAATATTGATGAATATTGATAGAGAACTTTACTAAACAAAAAGAGTTTGATTTATTATAATACACCCGGGTTGTTTCATAATATTATTTTGCTCGAGCAGGAGGATTATTTTGCACTATATTAAAAATGTTCTTTACGTGGATATTTGAAAAATTAAGTAGAAAAACTAAGCACACCTATATTTGGTCTTTTACATCAGATTTATCTGAGAGCAAGAGCTAAAAATTTGTCAACTCGATCGAATTTGACCATCGCGCGGGAGAATAGCTTGGCCTCCCCGCGGGCCATCAGCTGACTGAACTCTTTTAAGTCTCCGGGGCACGTCTAGAAAAACGGAGTTAATAGAAATTCATGAAAATTTTATTCGCAACTTGGAGGCGTCAGTCAAGCCAGGCGTAGTGCCGCATATCAAGCAGCCACACTTTTCGTCTCTCTTTCGCGCGCGTACGTATATAAATTTGCACATGCGAGTCGTCGGATATATATGTTTGTTCGTTGTATAATCAGTTGTTCATATGATGAGAATAGTTATGCGTGTACCGTCGAATGGGAAAGGGGGATGGAAAGATATTTCTTAATTCCTGCAAAAAGGTAATCAATTTAATATGATAAACGAAAGCTCTCTTCTATAGAAGACACATCTGAGACTGAATTTGAAAATAAATTTAATTTACAAACTTTGTTAAATTATTTTTCCAAGTTAATGCAACATGTGTAACATTGCTATTTTCGATATCAAATTTAAATCGAGCTATTGCTCGATGCCCTTGAATAGCACTACCATCGCGGGTACTTCGATTCATGATTTTCATCTGTCATCACATGCTCTAAGAATCGCGCGATACATCGACTCTGGTGTACAGCTTCCAGAGTGTTTAATGAATTAGTGGTTTCAAAGTCATGTCAGGGGACTCGGACTTCTTCTGGAACAGCGCGTGTTCGTTTCTCCTTTCTCGGGAAATGTCAGGATGAAAAAAAAAAAAAGGAAAAAAGGAAAGGAAAAGGAGAGAAAGCGAACCGGGATTCGTGGGTCTGTCGGGCGGCAGGCCGCCTAATTGAAAGAGGTTTTCTGTGGGCGAGGGTAGACATCAGCGTGAACGAAGCGTTTCCAAGGAAACCCGGCAGCGGGTACTCGTGTGGAGAGGGCCTTCGGCACCAATGGGGCTGCGAGGGAAAGGCGCCGGCGCTCAGCATCGCTATACTATCGAGCGTTGCTATCAAAGGTTTCTTGACTTGCCATGGCGGATCCGTTGCGTATTTTAAAGATAATCACGTAATCTTTATTTATTTATTTATTTTTTCATTATATCCGCGTGTCACCGCGTCGATCGACCGCAGTTATAAATCCTTTCCGAGGGATGCGCTTACTTTACAGGATGCTTCACGGTCATTTAATTATGCCTTCGCATAAAAACCTAAAAACCTAATCAATTCTTCCGTTTTGGATATAATTATATTAAAAAGTTTCAAAAATGTATCGTCCATAAGCTGAAATAACAACATTGTTTGAGGGTTGAAGAAGTTTTGGCCCTTTTCAAGGTACATATCTTATAGTATCCGATCCAAAAATTGTCGTATGATAAACTATCTCATGTGTCATCTCTGATTATAATTAAATCAGCGAACGCGCGGAGAATTCGTTCACGAAATGAATCCTCTTGTTTCTGCGGTCTATCATCATATGCAGCATAAGTTGTGACACTCCGCATCATTGATACAGTAAACGTAATAGCTCTGTTGTATAATCGTTGCATTAATGGGTAGAAAATTGCTCGTTACGAGTGCGTTGCACATAATAGCGCGTATGTGTGGCAGCTCTTTCCCTCTCTATCTCTCTGATAACCACGATAGGTGTGTATGATAGTTACACAACAATTACCACGCTTGTGTCGATAGGTTTTGCTTATCCAATCACCTTTTACATACGTTCTTTGTTTTTTAAATTTTAAATTTTATCGAATAATCCTTTGATCGCGTTAAGAGAATATACGATTAGTAAAATTGTGTCTTACATTCTGAAATGTCAAAATTGATATGGCATTAGATCGTGTCCTGACTTTATTATTTTGTAGAGAGAGAGAGAGAGAAAAATGAAAAATATATATTGTACAATATTCGCGAAATGATATTTGAACGAAAGAATACAGCTATTTGTCTTTATAGCTATTAAATTCTTTGGTGTATTCAATATTCATTGATATCGGGAGGCGATTGGGAGATTTCGAATGCAATCCGCAAACACGTCGCTGACAAGAGCGAACGATCGGAGAGATTAATCAGTCACCATTTTTCCGATCGGACACAATGCGACTCCGGAACAATGGGAAGCATTCCCTGATTAGCAACAAAATACTTGAAATAGTGTAATGAAATATTACGGTTCATCGATTTGTAGTAATTTATTATCGCACGAAGGGAGAGGCGTAATTGTTGCTCCATCTCTAATTCCCGTTAATGAACAACTATTAAATTGCACGATAACGCATCGTGAGAACTGCCTGTACAAACAACAATTACTTCGAAGTGGCATTATGCAGCTATTTGAAATTATGTGTAACATTTAATTAACGTCTTAATGCGATTATTGTTGCGTTGCGAACTCGTTAGCGCGATGATACGTATTGTCTGAGATACGGCGGCGGAGATGAGCGCTCCTCTTGTACGATACATCGCGAGATGATTTGACGTATATGTATATAGAATATATACCAAATTATACGGCCCGCGCGCGCGTTCGCTCGAAATAAAATAATTAAGAGCCGCCGACTTTATCGCTGAAAAATGCACGAGCTTTCGGTGAGTGTTCGCTCCGCTTAATTAGCCGTAATGGACATAATGAATTTTACATTAGACCGAGTTTTATCATTTTCGAATAAAAAAAGGGGGACAGACGGGGAAGGGGGAGGAACTCTCATAAACTCGCGGCGCGTTGCAGCCGGTGTCGCTAAACGCAACCAATTCCGTTGCATCGAAGTACATAATCGTGCGGCCGCTGCATTTGCCCGCGTGCATGCGACGAGTACCGTTTTTTTACGAAACGCGCGAAAAGTTATTTACTCAGTAGTCATCGTTTCACCATTTTTTATTCCAATTTAATCGACGAAAGGTCGAAAAGACTTGGATAGCTCTACAAACGATACTGCGCTAAATATCTATTTCTTTGATCAAACTATTCTTTAACATTGACAATCGATAGCTTGATTTCTCACGTATGGAGGCAGAAGATGGTATATAGGTACATGAAAAAAATATCGATATAGAATCCGCAGTAAATCCCGTTTACTACAGAATTTCCTATAATATTTAGAAAATGATTCCTCAATGGAAGAGAAGCGTCGTTCGATAGCTATGCATTATTTGGCGCGGTGGTGAACGCGAAATGTGCGAGACGCCACTTGTGCAATGCCGTTCGCTTATCGCGTCGGGAATTCACGATTGACACACGGGGTCAACGGCTTTTTTTCATGCGATGTGCAGCACGCTTTTAGAACGCGATCGCTCGCGCGCCGTTATTCCTTACCGTCAATCATATCCCGAATATTAATTCAGCCGCGTGCTCGATGC